GGGGGGGGGGGGCTGGTCCTGGGGGTCCTGTTGGGGATCTGGGGGTCCCAGGAGTCCCACTGGGGATTTGCACTGGGCTTGGGGGGGTCCTGGGGGTCTCATGGAGGATTTGGGGGATCCCACTGGGGATTTCGGGGGGTCCTGTTGGGGACTGTTGGGGGTCCCAGGGCTCTCCCTGACCCTGGGTCTCCCCCTTTCTCAGCCGGGGCCCCCCCGAGGCGGACGAGCTCCTGCGGCGGGCGGGGTTCCTGTACGAGGGCACCTACCGGTGGGTGCCCCCCCCCGGGCCCGCCCCAACCCCTGCAGCTGGGACCAAAGCTCCCCATCCCCCAATCAAGTCCCCAAAGCTTAATTACCCCCTCAATATCCCTTCCCCCCATGGGAGCAATTAATGATTAATGCTAATCAATTAATCAATTAACGTGCTATTAACCAGGACCAATTAAACCCACCTTTGGCTAATTAATTATCACCAGCACCTTCTAATTGCCCCCAGGCACTTACTGGGCAGAGCCCCCCCTATGGCACTTATGGGGCAGAACCCCAACACTTGTGGGGCAGGACCCCAACACTTGGGGGACAGAACCCTAACATTTGGGGGTCGGGACCTCAACACTTGTGGGGTCAGGACCCCAACAGTTATGGGGCAGGACCCCAGCACTTGTGGGATCAGGACCCCTGGCACTTGTGGGGCACAATCCCCATGGGGGGTGTGGAGGTGCACGAGCGGGGTTTATGCTAATGAGAAAACTGGGTTTATGCTAATGAGAAGGTGGGGTTTATGCTAATAAGGAAGCATTGCCGTTGCCCAGAGAGTGCTAATGGGGGCGGGGCCAGCAGCCAATCCAGAGGTGGTGGGAAGGGGCAGGGCCAAAGGGGGCGGGGCAGCACCTGAGCGCTGATGACCCCCTGTCACCTGCACACCTGAGCACACCTGAGCACACCTGAGCACACCTGAGCACTCGCTGGGCGTTCCACGCCGTGGATGTGGCACAGACAGGCACAGGTGTGGCACAGAAGGGCTGATGGCACTGTCCCCCGGCCGCTGAGGGGGCAGGAGCTCCCAGCCACCCCCTCATGGAACCAGGGGGCCACCGGGACACGGGGGGGCTCCTGGAAGCCAGGGACACAGAGGGACCTCAGGGAACCCCGGAGAGCAGAGTGAGGTTATGGAACCTCTTTTAACCAGGTGTCAACTGTGAGAGCTGGGCCTCACTCAACCCAGATGCCACTGGGAGCTTGCCAGAGCTCATGGAACCCAGGCTCCAGTGTGACACAGAGGGGCCTCATGGAACCCAGGAGAGCTCTGAGAGGCTCTGGAACCTCATGGAACCCAGGAGAGCTCTGAGAGGCTCTGGAACCTCATGGAACCCAGGAGAGCTCTGAGAGGCTCTGGAACCTCATGGAACCCAGGAGAGCTCTGTGGGGCTCTGGAACCTCATGGAACCCAGGAGAGCACTGTGAGGCTCTGCACCAACATGGCTCCAAGGTTCCACTGTGATCTGACGGAACCTCCTGGAAGGAAGGGAACATTTTCCCCTGTGCTCAGCACAGATGAGGCTGCACCTTGAGTGCTGTGTCCAGTTCTGGGCCCCTCAGTTTAGGAAGGATGTTGAGATGTTCAAACACATCCAGAGAAGGGCAACGAGGCTGGTGAGGGGTCTGAACACCAGTCCTGTGAGGAGCGGCTGAGGGAGCTGGGATTGTTTATCCTGGAGAAGAGGAGGCTCAGGGGAGATCTCGTCACTCTCACAACTCCCTGGCAGGAGGGTGCAGCCATCTGGGGGTTGGGCTCTTCTCCCAGTGAACAGTGACAGGACAAGAGGACGCAGCCTTAAGCTGTGCTAAAGAAAGTTTAGGTTGGACATTGGGAAAAAATTGTTCTCTGAAAGAGTGACTGGGTACTGGAATTGTTTGCCCAGGGACAGGGTGGAGTCCTCATCCCTGCGTGTGTTAAAAAAGCCTGAAGGTGGCACTTGTCCCTTTTGGAAAGACAGGTGTCTGCCAAGGGAGGCAGGAACCTCCTTTGGGATGGAGAATGTGACCCCCTTCCCTCTGAATTGTTGTAACTTTGAAATGCTGGTGCTTTCGGGCACAGACACGGGAAAATGAATAACAGCTCTTCGCTAGTCTGAAACACGGCGAGCAAACAGCAGCAACAAACGGAACCACAGAGCCAGGGACAGCCAGAACCTCAGAGCCAGAGAGAGCCAGAACCACAGAGCCAGTGAGACCCAGAACCACAGACCCAGAGAGAGCCAGAACCTCAGAGCCAGAGAGAGCCAGAACCACAGAGCCAGTGAGAGCCAGAACCACAGAGCCAGAGAGAGCCAGAACCACAGAGCCAGAGAGAGCCAGAACCACAGAGCCAGAGAGACCCAGAACCACAGAGCCAGGGACAGCCAGAACCTCAGACCCAGAGAGAGCCAGAACCACAGACCCAGAGAGAGCCAGAACCACAGAGCCAGTGAGACCCAGAACCGCAGAGCCAGAGAGAGAGCCAGAACCACAGACTCAGAGCCACAGATCCAGTGACCCAGAACCTCAGACCCAGTGAGAGCCAGAACCACAGAGCCAGTGAGACCCAGAACCAGAGAGCCAGGGACAGCGAGAACCACAGACCCAGTGGCCCAGAACCTCAGACCCAGAGAGAGCCAGAACCACAGAGCCGGGGACAGCCAGAACCACAGAGCCAGAGACTGTCAGAACCACAGAGCCAGGGACAGCCAGAACCACAGAGCCAGAACCACAGAGCCAGAGAGAGACAGAACCACACAGCCAGAACCACAGAGCCAGGGCCAGCCAGAACCACAGAGCCAGAACCACAACCCCGTGAGAGCCACAGACATGACCCAGTGAGAGCCAGAACCACAGACTCAGAACCACAGACCCAGTGAGAGCCAGAACCACAAACCCAGACCCACTGACAGCCAGAGCCACAGACCCAGTGACCCAGAACCACAGAGCCAGAACCACAACCCCGTGAGAGCCACAAACATGACCCAGTGAGAGCCAGAACCACAGACTCAGAACCACAGACCCAGTGAGAGCCAGAACCACAAACCCAGACCCACTGACAGCCAGAGCCACAGACCCAGTGACCCAGAACCACAGAGCCAGAACCACAGGCCCAGTCCCAGCCAGCAGCAAGGGATGGACAAGGGGCTTCCTTTCCGAACCGCCGGGAGCAGCCGATCCCGGTGCCCCTGTGGACAGCAGAAGGAGCTGCAGCAGAGCCCCAGCACAGCCAGCTGGGCAGGCAGGGACGAGCAAAACCTCGGAGTGGCGGATGGGATGTCAGAAACTCGGAGCTGCACCAGGTGGGTGTCCCAGCAGGGCAGAGGGGTTACAGCCCAGCAAAAACCTGGAGAGGGACAGAGACATGGTGGGGCCGGGCAGCGGCAGCCCGGCTCCAAACTGGGCAGGCACCACCCATCCTCTGGTGGGTTTGATGCTGGTCAAACGCCAGAGCACCCACAAAAAAATCATTAATTCCTTCTTCCGTGCTGTAATTGAGCTGAGGAGGGGAAAAGATTAATTTTTAAAAAATAGCTCATTGGGTGATGTTATAAATGAATTAGCCAATTTGATTGATAAGGAGAATTTATTCCATAATTAAAATACAGTCATAAAAAGGCCGCAAGCAAAGATCAGAGCGGTGCTGAACCAGGCTAACAGCATCAGGTGAGACAGGTGGGGCACTCTGCCTCCTCTCCTTTGTGCATCATGAAGAGACAGCTCTCACAAAGTCTTTTTTATACATTTCCAAGGGTTGCTGGGGAGGGTTTCTTGCTTTCTTATCATTGATCTTGTCCTTTTAGCACATTCATGTAGTTTTTCCTTTCTTGCTGCTGCTCTTGCTGAGAGTTTTCCGAAACTGGTAAATAATTCACTTTGTTAGAGGAAAATCTCCTGCAATATGCATTCTAGGAGACACATATTTATCTAATCGATGATGCATATCAAATGCTTATTGCTGGGGTTTGGTCAGACAAATAATCCTCTGGAATCAGCATTTCTGGAGATGAATATTCAGGCTAGGATTTTGGTGCGTATCGCTGTAATCTCATCAGAGGGAATTTCCCAGAACCCTCCTTTGGTATGCTAGGATTTTCATTAGGTGAGATTACTGTAGTCTCAGCATGAATTTATGCATATCATCTATTACAGGTGAGGTAAGGATTAGGAGAGAACACTTTAAGGGCAAAACACGCTCAAATCTTTAAAAGGAATTCACTTTGTTAGAGGAAAATCTCCTGCAATATGCATTCTAGGAGACACATATTTATCTAATCGATGATGCATATCAAATGCTTATTGCTGGGGTTTGGTCAGACAAATAATCCTCTGGAATCAGCATTTCTGGAGACGAATATTCAGGCTAGGATTTTGGTGCATATCGCTGTAATCTCATCAGAGGGAATTTCCCAGAACCCTCCTTTGGTATGCTAGGATTTTCATTAGGTGAGATTACTGTAGTCTCAGCATGAATTTATGCATATCATCTATTACAGGTGAGGTAAGGATTAGGAGAGAACACTTTAAGGGCAAAACACGCTCAAATCTTTAAAAGGTATAAAGAAAAGTTTATTAACAGAATTTAAAAAAAAAAAGAAAGAAAAAAGAGGATAATGAGAGCTGAAATAAACCTTTAGAACACCTTCCCTCCTGCACCCCCCAGCCTTTCTTTCTTTTCCACCGACAGTGCAGGGAGGCAAAGACATGGGGGTTTTGGTCAGTGTGTCACTTGTAAAAAATCCTTCTTCAGCCCCCTCACGGGGAGGAGTCTCTCTTGCTGTGCATGTGGTCCTTCCCATGGGAGGCAGTTCTCTGGGAACTTCTCCAACGTGGTTCTAATTTTCACGAGTCGCAGTCCTGCCCGACATTTCCTTCAACATGAATCCCTCCCAAGGGCAGAGCAGTCTTCCCACAACTGCCTTTTTTCCGTGGCCCCCTCCCCTCTGTTTGAAGGTGAAAGAGAAAGAGCTTCCTGCAGCTTTTTCGTTCTTAAATACGTCATTGCAGAGGCATTGCTGACTCCTCTGATTGAGCCAGGCAGTGTTGGTCATCAGAGCCTTTAGGGATTGGCCCTGTGGAACATACAGCATAACTTTCTAACATGACACCTATAATATCAATTTTAATATTTGCGAAAAGCCAATCATAAAATACACATTTTTCACCTCCTTGAACAATGAACAAAGGAACACCAAGGGTTTGCCTGTTCTTTCTTAGTTTATCCAAGTCCTTTCTGAGAGCCTGGGAAAATGGTCTCTGGCAGCTGGGAATCTGTGGGGCTGAGACTCTTGTCTGTGATAAAAGATCATAGGAATTAGGTGGCTCAGTACCTTTGAGGCCCTGGACTTCTCATTCAGTCTTTGCCCTGGGGCTGGATTTTCCCTTTCTTTCTGCCTTTTAGTTTTAAAATTCCCCTTGAATCAGAAGATGCTATGACCTGAATGCAGTTTCTGTAAGGATGAGTGAGGTTCTTCCCTTGGAAAGCAAAGGCAGCGGCCAAAAGGCAGCTCAGGCTCAGCAGGGGCTGCACCTGTGAGCTGGGGCTGCTGGTGGAGCATCAGCTGCTGGGGTGATCTCTGCGGAAAGGCAGGGCTATCCTTTGATCCCTGGGGAAAGGCAGGGCTATCCTTTGCTCTCTGCTGACAGCTCTGAGCTAACCCTAACCTTAACCCTAACCCTAATCCTCTGGGAACCTGAGCAGTGCCAGATGTGCCCCTGGGACAGGGTGAGACGTGGGGCTGAGCCTTGAGCCTGAAAGGGGCCACAGAGAAGGCAGGGGCAGCTCTGCTCCTCCCTGCAGGGTTTGTGCCCTGCTCAGAACCAGTTCCCGTCCAGCCGGGGCAAACACCGTCCTTAGGGCACGGAGAACAAAGAGCTTCCCACCCCTAAGCCCAGCCCAGCAGCTGGGCTGGGCTCTGTTTCACTTTCTCCTGTTCCCCTCCTCTTGTGTTTCTTTCTCTTTCTCTTTCTCTTTCTCTTTCTCTTTCTCTTTCTCTTTCTCTTTCTCCTGTTCCCCTCCTGTTGTATTCCTGTTTCTTTTCTCCTGTTGTGTTTCTGTTTCTCTTTCTCCTGTTCCCCTTTCTCCTGTTCCTCTCCTGTTGTGTTTCTGTTTCTCTTTCTCCTGTTCCCCTCCTGTTGTGTCCCTGTGTCCGGAGCTGATTGGGCCATGCTCAGGCCAGAAGGACATCCAGCAGGATGGCCAGCAGAATGTCCAGCAGGATGGCCAGCAGGATGGGCAGGAGGATGTCCAGCAGAATGTCCAGCAGGATGGCCAGCAGGACATCCAGAAGAATGTCCAGCAGGATGGACAGCAGGATGTCCAGCAGGACATCCAGCAGGACATCCAGCAGGATGGGCAGCAGGATGGACAGCAGGTTGTCTAGGAGGATGGGCAGGAGGATGGGCAGCAGAATGAATTTTAATATTTGCGAAAAGATGTCCAGCAGGATGGCCAGCAGGACATCCAGAAGAATGTCCAGCAGGATGGACAGCAGGATGTCCAGCAGGACATCCAGCAGGACATCCAGCAGGATGGGCAGCAGGATGGACAGCAGGTTGTCTAGGAGGATGGGCAGGAGGATGGGCAGCAGGACATCCAGCAGGATGGCCCGCAGGATATCCAGAAGAATGTCCAGCAGGATGGGCAGCAGGATGTCCAGCAGGATGGCCCGCAGGATATCCAGAAGAACATCCAGCAGGACATCCAGCACGACGTCCAGCAGGATGGGCAGCAGGATATCCAGAAGAATGTCCAGCAGGATGTCCAGCAGGATGGCCAGCAGGATGGCCAGCAGATTGGGCAGCAGTACATCCAGCAGGACATCCAGCACGACGTCCAGCAGGATGGGCAGCAGGATATCCAGAAGAATGTCCAGCAGGATGTCCAGCAGGATGGGCAGCAGGATGGGCAGCAGGATGTGACAGAGTTTGGACACAGGACATGCCCAGAGCAGAGGGTTGGTGCTGCTGGCAATGTTGCATTAAACACGTAGTAAAATTTAAAAGCGTAG